CAGTACTCTGGAAAGGTCCAGGACAGCAGACTTACCTGATGCAATTCATCTTTTGATTTCCTGACTGCCGTTGTTGATTGTGTAGCCGAGCAAGCTGTAATAGTTAACAACCTCAATCTCTTCTCCATCTATCATGATATCAATTACTGCCAATTGGTCCAGTGGTGAGAATCTGTCTTCTTCATGCTGAGCTTCAATCCATATTGAAGGCTGCAGTCCTTGACTTTCTACAGCAAGAGCTTCAGGTCCTCCTCAGTTTCAGCAAGCAGGGTTGTGTTATCTGCATATCGTAGGTTGTTGATCTTCCTCCAAGGCTGATGACACATTCCTCCTCATAAAGGCCAGCTCCCAAATGATCTGTTCTAGAGGATCATAATAAATTAGAATCAACGGGGTTTTGTTTTGGTTACATGTAACATCCAAGGATCATTACCTGAGTAATGACTAAGGAGAGCAGTTTTAACAACTTGAGGATGATAAGTGAAACCTAGAAAGTGGAGGATGCCACTTCTCTGAGGACAAAAATCAGATGAAAGACCTTTGTATGAACTAGAAAGATCATATGGGAACAAATTTCAATTTTAAAAACTGGTGAACAGTGGGGGTAGGAGTTCTCAAAGATACTTTTAAAACTTTCAACTAAAATAAAATAATAAAGTATTTGAGGCACTGAGTTCCTAAAACTTCCATTCAACTGTATTTGCACACCTTACAATATACTAAATTGAATGGCCCCTCAGGTCTTTTGATCTCCAGAATTACATGGGCTTTGCTTTATTGTGTTTCTTACTTAGGATATTGCAAATTAAGATAATTTATTTTCAAGATTATTGATAAAAAGTATGTTTTTTTTTTGCTGGACCAACAGTTCTATTAGAAAAAAAAAGGGAGGGGGAAGGGCGGAAAATGTGCAACAATGAATGAATGGAAATCCAAGTTCCCTATAAACTTTCATTAAAATATCAATTAAAAAAGGTTTGACTAAGAAAAAAAATGAGGTAAAATGTCAGTGTAGTAGAGTAAGATAGACATACACTTTGACCTAAATCTGAATCCTTACTCTTCTCTGTACTGGCAGCAAGACCTTAGGCAAGTTTGTCAAATCCCTTTTATTTTCAACTGTAGAATATTTCCATACTTTCCCTGAAATACTGTTTTAAGCAATAAGGATTTTAAAGGGAGCTTTAGTGGTCTAGTGGCAAGAAACTGTGCTGTGATCCTTAAAGAATGCAGTTCTAATTCACCAGCTATGGGAGAAGGATGGTCAATGTCTTCCCTTGTGATTAACTACCTCTGAAAACCCTCTGGATGGTCAGCTATGGGTCGGTTTTGACTCGACAGTACCCAACAAAAACGAAGGATTTTAAGGATTAATGATTTTAAGTAATTTATAAAGTAATAAATTTATTGTTGTTATGTGCCATTGAGTCGCTTGTGACTCATAGTGACCCTATGTACAACAGCCCTAAACTCTGCTGTCCTGTGCCATTCGCACCATCTCTAACACACCCATCCCAATTACCCCAGTCACTGAATCAATCCACCTCATAGAAGGCCTTCTCCTCCTGTGCTGTCCCTCCACCCTACCAAGCATGATGTCCCTCTCCAAGGACGGGCCCCTCCTTACAACATATCCAAAGTATGTTAGATGAAGCCTCAGAATCCATGTCTCCACGGAGCCACCCGGTTTGACCCTTTCCAGGATGAACCTGTTTGTTTTCCTAGCAGTCCATGGTACCCTCAATACTCTTCTCCGGCACCACAGCTCAAAGGCATCAATTCTCCTTCTATCCTCCTTGGTCATTGTCCAATTCTCTGATGCATAACAAGTGATAGCAAAGACCATGGCCTGTATCAGACACACCTTCGTCTCCAGAGACACCATTGTTCTTCAGTACTTTGGAGAGGTCCCTAACAGCAGACTTTCCCATCACAGTAAGTCTTTTAATTTCCTGGCTACTGGTGCAGAGAGTGTTGACCATGGAGCCAACCAAACTAAAACTGCCAACAACCTCAATCTCTTCACCATCCATCCTGATGCTGCCAATTGGTCCAGTGGTGAGAATCTCTGTCTTCTTGATATTGAGCCTCAATCCATATTGGAGGCTGCCATCCTTGACCCTCTGTAGCAAGCGCTTCAGGTCCTCCTCCGTTTCAGCAAGCAGGGTTGTGTCATCTGCATAACTCAGATTGTTGATAGATCTTCCACCAATCTTGACCCCACATTTCTCCTCATAGCGCCCAGCCTCTGTAATAAATTTATCGATTAATATATCAACTGCCTACAGTCCCCGGCAATGAATAAATTATTACCAAGGTCAATATCAGCAGTCAAAACCAGACCAGGTTCTGACTGTGGAACAGACTATCAATGGCTCATGTCCAAGAGCAAACTGAAATGGAAGAAAATGAGAAGAGGCCCACAAGAACCAAGATATGACTGTCCAGCTGAATTTAAAAATAATCCCGAGAATAAGTTTGAGGCACTGACCACTAGTGATTGAAGACCAAATGAGTTAGGGGATGACACCAAGGATATTATCCATGAAGAGCACAAAACGTCATTACAAAAACAGAGAAAGAAGACAAAAATGAATGTCAGAAAAGGCTCTGAAATTGCACTGGAGTGTTGAGAAGCCAAAACAAAGGTGGTGATTGCTGAAATGAACAGAAGATTTCAAAGGGCAGCTCAAGAAGACATAGGAAAGTATTAAGTGGAATGCAAAGAGCTAGAGTTGAGAATAAAAACCAGAAGAACATTTCAACCTTTTTTTTTAAAGTTGAAAGAATTGAAAAGAAAATTCAAGCTTTGGGTTGAAATACTTTGTCTCACATATTTGGGATATTTTGCTAAGAGAGGTTATTCCTTGAAAAGCTGGGAGTGCTGCTAAGTAGTGGAAGACCCATGACCAGGTGGATTGACACAGTGACTGCAGCAATGGGCTTGAGTATGTCAGAGCTTGTGAAGATAGCACAGGTTACGGCAGGGTTCAGATCTGTTGTTCATAGGGTCACCATGAGCTGTACTTGACTAGACAGCTCCTAACAACAACTCTTTTCTAATGGACAATTTGCTCAGTCAATGAGACATGTTTACCAGCATGTCAACAATCAACTATGTCATAAACTAGTGTAATACAAAGAGAAGAAATTATGCTCTGCTAGGACTACAGAAGGGTAGAAATGAAACTAGTACCAGGGCAAGTAAGAACAAACAGGAGTTGGATGACCTTATCTCACTGAGTAAAAAAAATAAACTGTAATCCCTAAGGTTAGAGAAAGAATGCCAGCACATACTTCCACTGTGAAAACCTGTCAAGAGGATGAGCCCAGGTGTTTGAGGAGATTTCTCCATGTTTTAAAAAAGTAGAAAGGTAGAAAACCATGAACTAGAATTCTGGAAAAATACAATATCTAGGTAAAAAGAAACCTGTTCACAAAATGTACCTTCACTTTGAAGCTAACATTTTTACTGGAGAGGTCAGAGAGGCAATGAATACTATTTTGATATTATTAAATAGAAATTTTTGCAAAAAATGTATAAATCTACATATGATTACTTCAAGAGCTAGATAACATAATTTTATAAGGCACATTAATAATATTCTCACGCTTTCTCAGACTCAGACAGGAGAGGGGATTCCTGGAATGAATCCCATCAGATACCATTAGAACTAATTTTATACTGCAAGGCCATCAGTCCTGTGTTCTTTACACTAATGCGTGAAGGTTAAGAAGAAATCTATAAATTTGTGCTACTGAAAATTTTATTTTTAGTCTTAGAGGATATTAAGTATCCCCGCCTTTTTTTTTTCACCTGTTATTTTAGGACAAAATTATAAGAGGCTTCTTCTTGCCACCCTAGAGACTATTCCCACACACTCATTACTGGGCCAGATTTTCTAAAACAATCTGTCCATTAGCTTTCAGAATAAAGACCTTCCCATTTCCCAGTTTCAGGTTCTTCATATGGTCCTAGACTCCCAGATCTCCTTCTTCAGTGGCATAGATTTTCTTTCCTTTTTTTTTTGGTGAAGCAAGGAAGACTTTATTATCTGTGGGGAGTGTTGACAGAGACCACAGCTTCTCAAGGGTCAGGCTCTGGCAGAGGTTTTCTTATCTGTTCCTTGGAGAGGGACATCATGCTTGGAAGAGTGGAGGGATAGAGAAAGAGGAAGACCACTGATGAGATGGATTGATACAGTGACTGGGGTAATGAGGGTAGTAGGTGTGTCAGATACTGTGAAGTTGGCACAGGACAGTGGGTTTCAGGACTGGTGTACATAGGGTTGCTTTGAGTTGCAAGCGACTCGATGGCACATAACAACAACAACAACAACAACAACAACAACTTTCCAATTTTATCCCAGTGTTTCCAGTATACTTTCACTACATTTGTCCACTGCCCACTGTTCAAGCACAAACATTTTTTTTAAATCATTTTTCCAAGGCTTTTGCTCAACTTAGTCAAGTCCCCTTGGTTGGTGGTTTTCCTCAGTTGCCAATTTCCATTGTGACTGAGCAAGGAAGTGATAAGCTGGGACAAGGCTCAAGACGTCTCCCTTCTCAGTAGCTGTAGAGCTAAAGTGGAAATTACCTGATGCCTATCACACAATCACATGTCTCATCTAAAAATAAAAGCCAAATACACAGTTCTTAGTTTTTTGTATATATTTACAATATAAATACTAATTTTCTTTCAAAGTACATATTTTTTAACAATTTGAGAAAGGTATCTAGCATGGGACAGCAATTTAATGTAAAGTCTCTATAGTTGTATTAATTAAAAATAGAATTGCTTTTGGAAGAAGGGATTGTAGGAGGACTATAAATGGGAGTGATGATCTGAAATTGCCAGGGGAATGTGAAGCAGCTTAGTCCACACTGCACTGCTAATACAGCATTATAGGACTACTACATGAGACAACAACTTGGATAGTGTCTTGTAAAACTACACTTCATATAAATGAAGGTACACATGCTTGCATAGTGCGTTAATCTTAAAAGAAGCTCAACATTTCATTTTCAATAACTTAAATGAACAGCACTTAAAACACATCACACAAAATTAAAGACTTGTGCATATATTTCAGATTTCAACATTAATGTCAAAAATACATAGTATGATTTTACATAGGATTTGTGCTACATTAGAACACTAGACAAACATCACTTGAGTATTAAGGGAAACATTAAATATTAAATAACTGAGAAATTAAATGTGTAAACACTAATCTAACTGGGGCTTTGCTATTGCAACATGTCCAATGAAGTGGTTTCAACAGTACAAAAACGGTCAGGACATGAGTGTTTCCAGTCTACTTGGAATATGTGGATCTCATTCCAGAAATCCTTGAATAAAAACTGGTCCAGAGCAACAGGAGAGGTTCCACTCTCCTGGATTTTAATTTGGTACACTCCGTTATAAATTAATTTTAACTTTCAGACTTGGGCACTGAGCAAATACTTAGTTGTCACTCCTCCTTACTAACATCTTGGTGAAAACTGAGGGTTTGTTGGCGATTCAGTATAAGATTTGAGTTCATATGCAGCACCACTATCAACTTCCATTGACTTTCTAGAGAACAGGAGCCGTACATCTCTATGGAGGTAGATCTTCCCAGATTTAGAACTCTGGAACCTAAACAAACAGAAAAAACAAAAAAGCATCATTTTTGGGAAATGCGTTTAAAAAATAAACACCTGTAACAAATACATTTTGAAGATAAGAATAATTAGTTTTGCTACAATATTAGCTTAACACTAATGCTTCAATATTATACTTTGGAACTCATTTTGCCAAATAAGTTTCTTTTTAAAGGCTTCCCCCTTCATATTCTCCAAGCACTCTACTTTTGTTCCAATACCTGAGATGCTTTTTTTTTAAAAAAAAAAACCCCACACTAAACCTCAAAACTCACTGCAATTGAATCAGAATCAACTTACAGCTGATCCTCTGGTGAGTTTTCAAGGCTGTCTGTCAATTGCAATGGAGGAAAATGCTCATCTTTCCTCCTGGGACCCCTTAGTGGAGTCCAACCTCCAGACAATGGCCATCTTCAGAATAGCAGCACAACTCTCTACCAATGATGCCTGAGCGACATTGCTTTTGAGTTAGTAGTACAACTCTCTATGGACTAGTAATCTTATTTTTCATCCTTAAAAAGCACATACATTTTTCCCTTCTGCAGTATCAAATTTCAGTTCAAAACAACCAACTACATGTGTCTTTGCAGTCCTAGCATCTTCTTGACTGATCCATGTCACATAATTTAAACTTTTAGTGATTTAGGTCCTTTCACATGCATTCCATACTTGAAAAATTAGCACAGAAAATGCTCACATTTTGAGGGCAATCACAAGATGAGAGAACTGCTTTCCTTAGTAGGAAAACTTCACTCATTGAGTCAAAGCCAACCTGTAGTTGACCCTCCACTGGGTTTCCAAAGCTGTTAATGGCACAGGAAAGGATTACTCATCCTTATCTCAGGAAAGTCTAGTGGATTTGAACCTCCAAAGAGGTGTGGTATTTGGGTTTGCAGTGCAACTCCTTATGGACTAGGCCTCCAGAGCTCCCCTCATCAGAATAGGCTAGCTATACAAAGCCTATTTGTTATTTAAAGCCAAGAAAAAAAAATTAATGTTACTGTTGTTACAATGCAATTGACTCAGAGCGGACCCTCCAGTGGGTATTCAGAAGCTTAAAAATAAAACAGGAAGTGACTTCCCATAGTGAAATGAAAATGGCTATTGGACCATTTCAGTCATTGTTGCTCTATCCTGAGCCTCAGGAAACCATTTCTAGGCCCTGTTGATATAAAGGATTATTTATATAATAAAAAGGTTTGTTTTGGCGTTAAGAGGTTAAACTTCAATGATAGAATCAAATGGAAGTTTAATCAGAGAACAGTTAAATATTCTTCTATTTTGAGTGAGAAAGCATTCTCAGTGTCTATTGCTTCATATGATTATTCTTTGTTAAAGCACATTGGAAGTGCAATGGTTAAGCGCTCAGCTGCAAATGGAAAGGCAGCAGTTCAAACCTACCAGCAGGAAAGACTTGGCAATCTACTTCCATAAAGATTACAGGATAGGAAACCCCAGAGCAGTGCTGTTCTGTCACTGTGAGTCCAAATGGACTCAAAGGCATACCAACAACATTAGATTCTATGGATGAAAAGAAGCGGTAGAAATGTAAAACAGAATTTTGAATATTTATGAAACACAGACTTTGTGGAGCCACAGAGGATGAATGAACCCATGAATGAACCCCTGAAAACTTTTGCCTTGAGTTAATCTTTAAATCTTAAACCAAAAGTATTCTCACAATAAAAATTATAATTTGAGTAAACATTTAAAGAGCAATTAGTTTTCTGTTCAAGGATTCATAATAGGTTTTGATTCACAGCATTAATTACAGTCCCCACATTAGAACAGTAATATTTTCACTTCGTCCCTGTGATTCTCGTTTCCATTCATCCTTCCATTCTTTTCCTGTTTTCTGAGCTTTCTCCATGGGCAAATACTGCACATTTGAAATTGTACTGTTAACTCTTCTAAGAAGTGAGTACCTTTGTACTGTTGCTGCCGACTTTTTAAGCATATTAATTAGTTGGCTGAAAATTATGCCATTTAGTTCAAGGGTCACAAGGTTACAAAAGGCCACAGTCTTGAAGATTCCACCAGATTTTATCAGACTATCAAGCCTAGTTATTTTTTAGATTGCGAGTTTTGCTTCATATTTTTTCTGCTTTGTCCAGGACCAGGAATTCAGGTTTGGGGTGTTTTGTTGTTTTTTAAGAAATTGAAAATTTCAGTATTTTTTTCTAAAGTAACACATTTTTATATCTATTTGAAACATACCTCAAATGTATGAGGTAGCGTAATAACCGTTCTTCTGTATGTCGGATGTTCTCTTTATTAACACTTCTCTTCATTTCTTGTTTAACAGGTACAGAAAAGGTTCTTTGTCGTAGGAATGTCTGATGATTGGCTGGCATATCTCGCAAGTCATATATCACAACAAACATCTTCACCACAGTCTTATTAGGATTAAATAAGGTCTGAAGGAACAATACAGAAATTCTTCTTTAAAAAGGAGATTTGTTGGTATGATTCAAAATGATTGTGCTAACAAGAAAACAGACTTCACAAACAATAAGTTTACGCCAGGGGATAAAGGAAATACAGTAAATAAAATTTCACAACTTTATATATAGTATAGTCAAAGTAAGTTAAAATCATTAGCCACAAATTTCATGTTCAATATAATGTATTTTCCTTCTTGTTCAGAGTTCAATTTTAAGAAATAGCATTTCTAACTTAATCAAGACATACTTTTAATGAATTAAAAATATTCCATTTCAATTTCTGCAAATTTTTGCTTCTTAAAAGTCCCAACCAACTACAAAGTACTCAAAATGTAATTGAAATGCTTCTCACATTTTAAATCGTGAGATAAAAGAACATTTTTTAAAAAACAACCAACCAAAAGATCAGGAAAACTAGACCTTTAGGTATTTTAGATACATATGGTTATTGTGAATTTTAAAAATTAATAACGGAAAATGATAATTATTTGAGCACCTATTTGAAAACTTTTGTAAGTTCAGCAAATGAAGTTCATTATTATTAGATCCAAGTGGTCAAATAATAATTACTATTCTCACACTTGGACTTACTTCATATCTTGCAGTGACACTAGGCTTTTTTTTTTCTAATTACCATCAATATCATAACAGTATTTATCTTTTGTAATGACTGACTTGGATTCAATTTATAGTTGAGTGTGAATAACCAAAGGAAAAATGAAGTATAAATTTGTAAATGAAACCACAAACTGCTAATCTGACTTTAACCAAATTACCAACACATCAATAGGTAACTTGGTGCTCATGCTTTCAGAAGCTCATCCGTGGCACTGGACATCACTCACTGAATCAAAATGAGAAATATATCAATATTATGATCCAATTTTTGAAGTCTAGTGAATCTTAAGAGAAAGGCTAGTACATTCAATGGCCACAATTAGTAAACTACAAGTTCATAAAGTATTTATAGGTAATTAAACCGTATAAAGAAAGCAAGATTACCCAAATCTCAGATTTCAAGTTAAATATTAAAGCTGGCAGTCCTCAAACAAGAGGTGACTATGCTGCCTCTAGATTATACCTCATTTTTATGACAGCTGACAGCTAGTTTTCCTATACTTTCTTAGAAGCTCCATCATCAGGGCAAGAGAACAGAATACTATCACACTTATTGTTCAAAACACGCATATAGCATTTCTAGCACACAGTGATTTTACCTTAGTAAAATTTTACATATATACATATCTATTACATAGTTATAACTTTTACTACTGTGTGATATACAATAAATGTAAACTCCTTGCAGTATTAAAAAATGGCAATGAACACACTGAACATTGTGGCCAAAGGGCACAAAGATTGAGACTCAATATTTAATGTGAGGAACCAGCTTCAGATGACTGTTTAGTCAGCAGGAGCCCCAGTTCTGTAATAGACTTGAAGATTTGCAACATTATGTTGAGTGTGGTTTGGAGATGAGCTGACGCTCAAACTGGCCTTGTTATCAAAGTAATTTCGGGATCCTAGCTCAGGGGTGATACGGGACTGCTCTGAGCTAGAAGCTAGGATAACACTAGATCATCACTTAGACCAGAAACAATGCTGCCTTCCCCAGCCTCACATCTGTCAGAATACACACCAACCTCGTATGGCTGTAACATCTGAATTAATTTCAGAAATTATTATTACCCCAAATTTTTCCTGCTAAAGCAATTAGGATCTCCTTTTAAATAGAACAATCTCAATCTAGCTTATTACATGAAATAGAAGGCCTTGGTATTGCTAGGTTCTAATTATATAGAAAATAACTAAGGTAAGCAAACTGTCATGTACTATTTTTCTACAGCATTCACCTTGATTAGCTTATTAAGGCTTTACTGTTATGGAGGTCCCCAAATGGTCATTCCTGTGGCAGAGCAGGGAAACTCCAAACAAAGCTGCAGCCCTACTGTTACTTACCAAAGTTGTTGCAGCAGCAGTAGCAGGAGAAAGGGCTAAGTTCTATATGTATGTGAGAGAATGATTATTGCAATTGTAGGCTATAAAACACATACCACTTGTATTGTTCCTGAAGGAGGTACTCGGTAACCCCTTTTACCAAGGGACTCTAAAGTAATCACACCCTTAAAAGAAAAGAAAACAAATTAAGTACAAGCTGCTGGCTATGTATATAATAGACTAAGATAAGAATAATAAATCATGCAATTACTAACATTTCAAAACCTTATTTGTATGGATAAAACATACTCAAATTGAACTAACAGAGGTACTTTCTATGAAATAAAGGAGGAATCCATTACAAAGAAACAATTTACTCTTTCTAGAGATGTCACAATAAATAGTAAATAATATCAACTGGTCATGCTGCTTCAAATTTCTATTTTAAAGAAACAAAAATAATTAGCTCCTTACTCTACCTTCCAAAAATAGAAAAGGAGATTAAAGAATTATTCCCAAGTATCAGTGGGCAATAAAGAATCAAAACAATTTACTGGTTATTGAAGATGTAAAAAGTCACATATTTGGAAGGTCTAAGACATGGCAAAAAACAAATGTCAATCTTTCACTTCCGTTGTGTTATATACATATCTGTTTTTCTGGTCAGAGACAGGAAAAAAACAGAAAGGAAGGTTGATGTCTATATTTTCTCCCTGGTCACTAAATTAATAGAAAAGTGACATTAAAGGCAAACACAGAACATGAAGTTTGAATCAACAATATTTAGTACTTTTATCTGTATTATATAAAAGTGATAAAACTTGCTTCTTCAGGATGCACCATTTTTTCCTGCAACAATCCCTACATCCTGAAAAGACATTTCTATATACCTGGATGGTGGTTATTAGGTTCTTGCTTCTTTGGAGCAATGGAGATAACTGGCTTGTTAACAAATCTAAGAAACCACGTTGTATCTAGATTACAACATAATAAATTGAACGTCTACTACCTAAAATCTGAGTCAAGGTTAAAGCTAAGTTTGTTAGTTGTTTCTGGGGACCATCATATCAGAACAGATTAACAGCTTCACAGCTGACCAGTGGGTTTTCAAAGGCAATAAATTGCACAGGTGGAGATTTCTCATCTGTCTCCACTGAGGATCTGGTGGATTTGAACTGTGTGCTTTTGGGGTGGCAGTGCAATTCTTGACCACTATAGTTACCAAAGCTCCCTGATTTGTTTAGAGAGCTCTAAAAGGTATCATGCTATGGGGGTGTGGAGGGCGGGGGGAAGGCCCTTGGACCAGTGTACATCACGGTGAACTTGTTAGATATGCAGAATTTCCAGTTTCTTTCCAAACCTACCAAATCCAAATCCATGTTTCTAGATTGTCTAGAAGACATGTATATTGACGTGTGAGCACTGCTCTAGTAGGAGAAGTAGTTTTTCTGCCAAGAATGTTCATCAACTATTTTCTGATCCTTGCCAAAGTCCAAATAAAGAGATGTAAGTATAATTAAAGCAAGAGAAATTAAACTAAAATATGTGAATCTCCTCAATAACTGCAAGGACCAAATGATTAAAGTGGTTATTATTATATTTAATGCTTAGCTAAGAAATGAATGTAGATTTGTTTTAACTGGGCTATTATTTTTCTTTTGAGTAGTTAAGATCACTAAATGGAACAAATAATCACATTCAAAACATTTTACAATTTATAATAACCAACCAAGTCATTCTTATGTAAAAGTAGGTATGAAAACAGGACTGTCCAACTAGGGAACACTATAGGGTTTGAAAGTCAAACCATGAACGAGAAGTAAAAAGGAGTAGGCACTGAAAAAGAGAAGATCACATTTCCACATATGAATCCTTCAAGTGCAAGTTAACAGCAATTGACACCAGGCTGTTAAAGAAGCATAGTAATATTGGGAAATGCTCTTTCATTCACGGGAATGGGTAAATGGAGAGACAGATACAGTCCTTGATAAATCTAATTTATTACAAGTTCATTTAAGAAAATGCAAACAAAGGTCGGCAAACTGCATCTCTAAGAAAAAGGGCAATGAAGCATAATTTGGCTCTTAAAATCTGTCCTGTCTAGTAAAGTACTATGTAATTGCCACTTTTCTAGTATGTTGTTGTTGTTGTAGTGTATCATAGAGTTGGAACCAACCCACAGCTGACTCTCTGGTGGGTTTTCAGAGGCAGTTCATCACACAGGAGGAGATTACCCATCCCTCTCCCGTGGAACAGCTGGTGACCTTGAACCCTAAGATTGCAGTGCAGCTTCTTGTCATTAGGCCACCAGAACTCCTTTTTAATATAAGCAGTGTGTATTTAATCTACATGAAAAATATTACATTAATACACTTCTACCTAGTTTCAGAAAGAAAAATTAGAATATATCTAAGAAAGAGTTACTTTCACAATCATATTTCTATAAAAAATACACAATTACCATTCTTCCTTGCCACCTCAACCTCTCCTAAAATGATAAAAAAACCTGTGAGGCAAACACTACTGCCACACCTATACTTAGTTCATTGAATACACACAATGTTTATAGTTATTAAGAGTATCAGGTGCTGGTAGTAATTAAATCCATTTATGAAGGAAAAAATACAGATTTAGAAAAACTTTGTTTAAGACAATATTTTATAATGATTTGTAAGCAATTAAAGATCAGTGGCTGTAGTGGCAAAGGGACTGGGATATTTTTTGATACGTCATTATAAAACATATTGACCTTATTAAGAAATTTAAATCAGTTGGCATATTAGTTCTCTGCCAAGAAACACATTACTATATTTTAACATACAGAAAAAGTACATGTTTTTCTAGTATTTTAGCATAGAATAATAAGGCTAAGAAGTTAAATTTGATAAAAACCTTGTGGGAAAAAAAAATCCCATTGCTTTGGAATAGAATATACACAGCTAAACGGAACATTAGCATATCATAATTTGGTTGATTGCAAATGTCAGGAAATCATAATGGTCTCGCCATTGGCATACCTGCTTTATACCTGGCTTCCCTATTCTTAAACCAAAGCCAACAGTTGATTGCAACTCACCAGAACCCTTCCATTGTGTTCCGAGGCTATAAATCTTTATAGAAGAAGATTGCCCCATTTTTCTTCCCAGAAGTAGCTGGTGGATTTGAACTTCTGACATTTCAGTTAGCGGCTTGACACATTACATACTATGCTACCAATGTTATTTTTCTCAGAGGACAGATTAACTCAGTGCAATAACCTGATTTACCACTATCTAATATATCCACTGAGATATAAGATTAATGCTGTTATGCTTTTTAAAAGTTTATTCAAATTACTGTTCTTTTCTGAATTACAGTAAAAACACTTGAGCCAAATTTTAGCCAGTTCACCATTTTATCTTGTTTCTAAGCCTAATTGTTATCAGAGACTATGTTTACTAATATGGTATATAGTATGTTAGATTTTCTCTTCTTGTATCTACATGCAGTAGATAGTGAGAACTGCTATGACTTTTAATGTCAATGCTGTTGTGACATAAACTATCAAGATGGAACAGACTCATAGCTGACCCTCCAGTGGGTTTTCAGAGGCTGTAAATCTCACGGGAGAAGAATATTCATTGTTTTTCCCCTACAGAGCATTTAGTGGGTTTGAACTAGGTGTATTTCAGTTGGAAGTGCTACTCCTTATCACTGTGCCACCAGACTCTTTTAATGTTACAGTGAAATAAAACTGCCATTCTTCCTTATATCTATATTCTAACACTGTTAGCATCCTAGCATTTATTCTGGTGCTGAGTTTGTCTCAATAGTGCTTTTCAATCTTTTTTATTATAGAAAAACTAACAATTACACTTTCAAAATGATACTACATTCTCAAAGGGAAAAAACTGGGCATATTGTTCTCTGGTGAATGGCTAATAGGTTGTGTATGTGATAACTGAATGTGTTTATGAAGGGTTTTGATAATTAATGACTTCTGGCTTTGATAGTAACAATTATACAGCTTCATGATTTTGACCAACAAGTGTAAAATTATTGGAGAAAAAGAAATATCTTAATAATATGAATATTCTTTTTCATTTTCTTCTAAATTAAGTATCAAATACTGACTATATGTTGCACCACTGGAATGCAATTAGCTTCATCAGTCTTCATCAGTTTATTTAGCTTAAGGAACAAGCCATATACTATAACATCATTTGTTCTCGCAGTGTTTCTTAATTACACAGAATTTCCTTGTTGCAGGTCTTATTAACAACAAAAGACATTACTAAAGTCTTTTACAATCTAAAAGATAAGGGTGCAGGGGATATTAGGAGAGGCTAAGCTAGAGAATTCACGCAGCAAGGCCAGAACATTTCTACACCTATAGCCATTTGCCACGGGAAAAGAAGGAGGACAATAGCTTCCCATGTGATTTTTAGCCTCTGAAAATCTCCTGGAGGATCAATTATGAGTCAATTCTGACTTGACAACAACTACATAGCCATTTATAGGCCCTCACGAGATGGACTGACACAATGACTCTGACAGTGGGCGCAAGTATGCCAGAGATGGTCAGGATGGCACAGGATACGGCAGGGTCACTATAAGTTGTAGTTACTCAACGGCACTTAACAGCAACAATATGTAATACCTAAGAAGTCCTGGTAGCACATAGCATCATAACGTGTCAGGCTGCTAACTCAAAAGAGGCTGCTAGCTCCTCAGGAGAAGGACAGTGTGAACCAAAGACAAACTACACAGAAGAAAAGTGAAGAGAAGCTGTTCACAAAGCCTTATGGCACCAAATACAACCAACATGCAAATCTACTAAGAGCAGAATCAGATGGAAAGGACTAGAATTAAGAGGAAACAACTGAGAACATGTGTGAATCTAGCAAGCTATGCCACGTCAGCTAATCATACTATCTATTTTCATTTCAATTACCTTGAAAAAAGCATAATCAACAAATAAAACCAAAGGTCTCTACTGTTGAAGCAACCTTAGAAAGAAACTGTGAGGTAATATTCTGTTATATGAGTTTCTATTAAGCCCTTATATTTATCTTAGGAAATGCTTTCTATTTTTAAGCATTTCATCAAAGCCATACTAACTCTTTACACGTAAAGACATTTTTTACTAAGTTGACTGGCTGTGCAGAAGAAGACAATTTGAAAGATACTTGCCATATAAGGAGAGGGAGCATTATCATCTGAAACACTGTAGAATGACACTTCAACTGGAAGAGTCAAATGTGTAGGGCAGAAAACACCACTTGCCCCGACCTCGGCAGTAAAACCATCAACAATGCCAAGAGGATCTAAACGATAGTTCAAGACGGATTCCTGGAAAACCAAAGAAAATAAATTTTAATTTTATAACGTCCTACAAAGTTTGATCTCCTTTTACTCTACTAACCCATGCTAAGCCCTCTTTTAACTTTTCTATTGTTGTTAGGTGCTTGATTCATTTGTTAAAGCCACTGTATCAACCTGTCTTGTTGAGGATCATCAGTTAGACTTAATATTTTCATGTATACTGTTTTATCTTGGAGCTCTGGGGGCTTAGTGGTAAGGAGGGACGTGGTTAGAATCTACTGGCTGGTCTGCGGAGAAATATGGGCAGTCTCCTTCTATGCGATGTACTCCCTCTGAAAACCTGCTGGAGGGTCAGTTTAGTTCTGACTTGATGGTATGCATCATTTTTATCTTTATAATTGATAAAAAATGGCACAAAAAAGGGTCATACATAAAATTTTTCATGCAACACAGTGACTTAATAGCAAGTACAAGGAAGCACTTGAAAAAAACTGGTTAAAAAGACATACACAAGGCAGTCAACTGGCCTTAGGACTATAGTCAGAGTTTCTGTTTTGCCTTCTAGTTTAGCTAGCTGTGCTCAGGCACTTAAAAGTTTGTTGTATTCAAGATACAAATTTTTTTTATTTGCCTGGTGCAGCAGCAACAGATAACACCTCAGGAATTAGAGAAGGAACAGAATGACACATCTAAATGCCTCTATGGTGTTTGATAGGAATACTGAACACTTTGATCAAAGACTTAATGGATTCTAAGTTAAAGGGAAAAGACATGAACAGAATTAAAACTTCTGTAGAAACCAAACTTAACTCTATCCACTCAGACGAAAAGGTCTAAGATAATTTTCAAACCATGGAAATTGAAGTAATCTTTAAACCAAATAACTGTTCAGCTAACTTATAAATAACGTTTCTAGCCTCTGGAAACCCTATGAACCTAGAGAAAGGATGAAAGTTATACAGGAGATGTCCAGGACTTTCGTTCATAGGGTTGCTATGAGTCGCCTGCGACTCAACAGCACTTAACAACACAACAACAGTGAATATTTTAAGGATTATCTGTGTTAAGATCAAACTGACACCAGTAACTCTAAAGTATAGTGAGAAGTTTAGAGAACAGTAAATCTAAGTTAGTGGAGGGTGAAACAATATGGATAGTTATATAGATAATAGTTATAGATAGATAATAGATAGATAGCTATATAAATAATATAGATAGTTAGGATGGCATCATGTGAAGAACGTCATCAGTATCACTAAGCTGTAAATTTAGAAATTGTTGAATGGACGTATATTTTGCTGTGCATGTTTTCACCAAAACTTTTTAAAAAGATAAACCCAAACATCTGTAACCCCAATTAAGAAATAACTTCATCTTTCTGTTGTATGTGTTTTATTATTTAGTCTAATCATAAAATAGTATATTTTAAGTAGACAAAAAAAGAGACCTGTTAGTGCCAAGAGACCTGAATGCTAACCTAAAGGGTTGGTGGTTCATGTCCAAACAGTGGCTTCACAAAAGAAAAAGACCTGGCAACCTGTTTCCATAAAGAGTACAGTCCAGGAAACTATTAGGTAAGAGCTCTCTGTTGTCAACTGGATTAGAAACTACTGACTTGATGGCACCTAACAAGTACAAAACTGAGGTAGAAAAGGCTTTTTTTTATCTCTTCTAAAATCACTCACTGAAATACCTTTTTTTACAATTTGGTTATCACAATTTTATCTGTTCACATATTAGAAACATTTTTAATATAACTGACAAAGTTTATTATCAAGAAACTTGTGCACTCAAGTTGCAAATTTTTAAAAAGATGGTTTAAGTTTTAAAATACTAAAAGATGAGAATATAAAATGGTATTAAATGACCATAATTCAAACTGCTAAATTATCATCTTTGTGTCTTGGTTGAAGCAGCTGTATAGCTGCACTTCATAAAATTCACCCCACTTCTCAAGAACTCATATTAAACATTTTTAAAAGCTTTCTCTTAATATACATGTATCTACTATGCATGCATCACGTGTGATGAAATGTGACTATCATTTTTTTCATAGAGTAATTCTTAGAAAACCAACACTCTATACCTTCATGACACTAATACCATGTTTTCTGAATTTGAAACAATCACAGAGCAGCAATTAAAAAACATTTGTCAAAACTATAAAACCAAGAGACCAGTGCCACGCTAATTTCTCTCTATTGCCCTATAATCAATTTAAAATTAATTTAGTCTACATTCTCCTGATTTTCTTTCAGTCTCGTGCCCTCCTTTCTATCCCTAAACCACTAACCTATCTGGTTATTGTTGTTATGTGCTGTGAAGTCACTTGCAACTCATAGTGAGCCAATGTACAACAGCCCTAAACCCTGTTCTTTCCTGTGCCAATCACACTGCCTCTGACACACTCAACCCGATTACCCCAGTCACTGAATCAGTGTACCTCATAGAGGGTCTTCCCCTCTTGCGCCTTCCCTCGACCCTCCCAAGCATGATGTCCCTCTCTGAGGACCTCTCCCTCCTTAGAACATGTCCAAAGTATGTCAGAAAAAGCCCCAGAATCCTTGCCTCCAAGGAGCAGCCTGGTTTAACCCTCTTCAGGATGAATCTGTTTGTTTTCTTGGCAGTCCATGGTACATTCAATACTCTTCTCCAGCACCACAGCTCAAAGACATCAATTCTCCTTCTATCCTTCCTAGTCATTGTCCAGCTCTCTGATGCGTAACAAGTGATTGCAAAGGCCATAGCCTGTATCAGATGCACCTTAGTCTCCAGAGTGACACTATTGTTCTTCAGTACTTCGGAGAGGTCCCTAACAGCAGACTTTCCCATCGCAACACGTTTTTTTTTTTTTATTTCCTGGCTACTGGTGCCAAGAGTGTTGACAGTGGAGCCAAGGAGACTAAAGTTGTTAACAATCTCAATCTCCTCACCATCCTTCCTGATGCTGCCAATTGGTCCAATGGTGAGAATCTTTGTCTTCTTGACATTAAGCCTCAATCCATACTGAAGGCTGCAGTTCTTGACCCTCTGCAGCAAGTGTTTCAGGTCCTCCTCAGTTTCAGCAAGCAGGGTTGTGTCATTTGCATAACACAGATTGTTAATAGATCTTCCACCAATCCTGATGCCACACTTCTAGATCCCAGCCTCTCGGATAATCTGTTCTGCACACAGGTTGAAAAGGTATGGAGATAGGACACATCCCTGGCGTACGCCCTTCCCAATTTTGAACCATGCAGTGTTTCCCTGCTCTGTTCTGATGACTGCCTCTTGGTCCATGTATAGGTTTTGCATTAGAATGATCAAGTGTCCTGGGATTCCCATTCTTCTCAGAGTCAGCCACAGTTTGTTATGATCCACACAATCAAACATTTTTGCATAATCAATAAAACACAGATAGACATTCTTAGACTCTCACAATATTCGCTCTGTACAAATGATGCAAAATTTTCTAATTAGGCTTTCTATGTCTAGTATGTCCTTTAAACAACTTGACAGGTTTTTTGGTTTTTTTTAATATATAAAAAAGGTGGTTTTGTTTGTTTGTTTGTTTGTTTTTTAATCCCTACTAGCTAAAAAGCTCTTTCTGGGAGGAAGCAACATGACATGGAGGGCCCATAATATTTTCCTGCCTTATTTCTTACCACTTGTACACAGGTAGGCCCACTCAACAATTTCTTTTTTTCTTCTTTTTTTTTTTATTTTATTATTTGTGTGTGTGTGTGTGTGTACTGTCAAATCAGATCTGACTGGTATAGGAGGAGATTGTTCCTCCTTCTCCAGCAGAGCATCTGGTGGATTTGAACCATGAACCTCTGGGATTGCAGTACACCTTCTTGCCACTAGGCCACCAGAGCTCGCCTCAACAGTTTCTACATGTTGCACCTAGTATTATTGATTACATTTCTCATACTTTATCAATCTTCTCACCTCTCATCTCTTTCCATACTACTCCACCCCTCACTAACTTAGATTTCAGCTCAGTTCATTGTCACAGAGTGGGACCCAACTCATAGCTTATCCACTAGCAGGTTTCCAGTGCTGTAAATCAAACTGGGGGAGACTCTCCTTTTTCCTCCCACAGATTCACTGGTGGATCCAGACCATCAATGGAGGGGAGGTTTTGTAACACAACTCTCTAAGAATTAGCCCCAAACATCCATGTTTCGATTATAATGGATACTTTCTAATATTATGTTCTTTTATTTACTATTCTTGAACATATGTATTTGTATGTGTCATTTTCCTCTGCCTATGTCGCTCTCCATTCCCTAAACATATTTATTTGGCAAAATTCTGTTACTATGTTATGTGCTGTGGAACTGGAACTGACTCATATCTGAGCCTCCAGCAGGATTTTCAGAAGCTATAAATTGTATGGGAGGAGATTGTTCATCTTTCTTCTGAGGAGCAGTTGGTGGATTCAAACTGTTTGACTGCGGGTTGGCAGTGCAGCTCCATAGCACTAGGCCACCAGAACTCCCTACTCATCTTTTGTGACCACTGGAACAGCAGTTCCCAAGTAAAGCCTTCTCCAGATCCTTTAACAGAGCAGAAATAATGAAGAAATTTCTATTATGGTAGTAAAGTTATAACTTACATGTCTGTCTTCTCCAGTAGAATGTGTACTTCTCTATTATGGTAACTTTATCACTTAGCTTTATATTATTTTCTAGTATGACAGTATGACATAGGACACAAAATAGGTACTGAAATATTTAAATGAGCAAAAATGTCTCAAGATAATTGAGAAGGTCACAGGAAGGGCACACACACAAATGTTTATGGATAAGAGAAATGATCTATATTAGTTATTGACATTATCTGAACTAATTCTGATTTTTGTGCCTTTAAATGAATACATTAGCATGCATGCTAGGCCCCAATTTATGTAATAGAACAAGAAAAGAAAAGATACATACACTACAAAGTTAGAATACACTGTATTCTGAGGTTGGAAGATTCTATTATTTTCCCCAAACTGATCTCTGCCACCAAAACCTCAACTCCATAATCTCAAGATAAAAATCTAAACAGACTTATGTAGAATTACACAAGCTATTGTTTAAAACATTTGAAAAGGCAAAGGAAGTACACTAGTCAAATAAATTTTCAGAATAATGATACTTACTACTGGTCCAGAAGACTTACTATAAAGCTACAATAACAAATGAAGGGTATTGAGAAAGGGACAAACACAGAGGTTTAAGAGAAATAAAACAATCAAATTTCTAAAAGAAAATCCTTATGATCTCAGGTTAACAACAAGGGAGATGCTGCGTTTTTCTGTTCAATTTTGGTTGTCCCAACTAAGGAGTTGGAATGGGAATCTAATGACTAGAGATCAAAGACTCTACTAAATATCCCATGTTGTTGTTGTTGTTATGTGCCATCAAGTCGCTTGTGACTCATACTGACTGGTTTATTTTTAGTGCCTGCAATCTGAACTGATATTTTTGAACTGACATGGAAAAGAAATCAATTTACCACAAAATATCTTTCTTTTTCCACTGAAAAGCTTTAACCTTAAAATACTTTTATACTGTTATAAAGAAAGCATTCAATTATGATGACAAATGATCACTACTCAAATAAAACACATATTTTGGATTTTCTCCCCCCAAAACTTGCCACTTATTATTCGCTACTATTTGAAGATGCTATTGCTGACGATTTCCTCAAGTTTGTACAAAATTATCGACATGAAAAAGCCTATAGGCTAAGAAATTTAAACTCAACAATAATTTCAGAATATATTACCTCAAAATTTCCTAGAAGACTTAGACTTGTCACAGGTGGAGCACTAGAACTTAGAAATGGCTTTTCATGAATATCTGGATCATCTTCAGTGTTTAAACATGGCTGAGCACTATGAGAAAATTAGGAAAAGATAACATTATAAAAAATAGTTTAACAACAATATTATCTAATTTCTACATAGAAGGAAAAGAATCTGGTTCATTTTGCTGATACTATCATACTTTCAAAAAGAAAAAGGTGACTAATTTTCACCAGGTACAAATGTTAACAAAGTAACTATATTTTAAGATGAAAATACCAAGTTTGAAATTTTTTATTAAGTTTGCAATCTCTACATGATATTTGCCAAAGAAGATCTATAACTTCCAGTAAGTTTTCTTAAATTTATAACTCTTAGCTTATTATATACTGAATAGGAAGGAAAACCTTCTATAAATAAAATTTGTTTTTTCTATTTTCATAAAATGCATATTAATTTTTTGAGGTGAATTTATCCTATATTGCATACTTAAAATATTTAATGTAAAAAAGTCTACGTAAATTTCATTTTCCAGTTAAAGTGAGTAAATGAATAGCAAAATTACATAACTAAATAATAGAACATTATCTGACACTATGGAAGTAACTGCCAATGTTTTTTTTGGAAAGAAGTATGAGGTAAAAGTGTAAGTGAATGACTAGGCATTACAAATGTACTCAAGTGCTAAGATCCATGCTCCTGCCATGAGTTAACTGCAACTCCTATTAACCCTGTAGAACAGACTGGAACTACCTCATAGGGTCACCAAGGCTGTACAACTTTATGGAAGCTCATTGCCCCATCTTTCTCCTGTGGATGGCTTTTTGATTAGCTACTGTGGAGTTTATCTTTCAGTATGACTTTTCTAGTCATTAAATCTGATTTGACCATGTGGATGGGTGGGAATATTTGAATAGAGCAGGTTAGCCTTTCCACAAGGGGCCTGGCCAGTCTCACCTATCTACAAGGGAACTGGCTAGTCTCACCAATAAATTGAGTGGCTCTAGCAGTAGATTAGATCTTTCTCACGAGTGAAGAAGAAACAAGAGAATGTAGGATGCCCTTCAGGACCAGACATTTTTGTTCCAGCTACACTTACAGCAGGAGCAGCCATAACTGAAAGAGAGGACTAAAGAGACCCAACATGAGACAGAGCTGGCTGCTACTCTCCCCACACCACCGCTTCCACTGTCTCCTAGGGATAGAAGCACAGCTAAGCTAAGATCCAGGTCTGCAGGGCAACTGGAAGTAGGGGAGAGCCAATATTGGCAGGGCTGAGACACTGATCTAAAGCTGTGAGGCTCAAGGCTGAGATGACTATGTGCACATTTGAGAAGCTCTTCTGAAAGTATTCTGCTTCTAATCTAGATTATAACCTTTTGACTTCCCCAACATGGTTCTGTGAGCTCTTGCATTGGATTTTGGATCCAGCAAATAGTACGAACAATGTTGAGATCGGTAGAAAGATGTGCAGGAATGTGGGAGACATGTCTGACCTCACGGGTACTGGTTTTGTGTTACTGATATGTTGACGGGGACAGTTCCATCCCCTTTGTGAACATGGCAAAGATCAGATCTGGCTGTCCCCATGTGGCCCTTACTCTTTTTACAGTAACCTCTTGTTTAATCCACTGTACCACCAGTGTTCAAACACACATTGTAGTTAGTACTGGCTTGTTAAGACAAATATGTAACAGTAACATATGTTAGTTCTTATGAACATGACATCATCCTGAAAATGAAAGTCAATTGGATTTCTGTTATAATTTTGATTTTTTTAAAGTCAACAGCATTTACTGCAGTAAAAGAGAGTTTTCTTTGTCTCCCACACACAAATGTGTTTTAAGATAAATACCTTCTAGATGATAAGCTTTTCAGGTGCAGTAATGAAGAATCCAGATCAAAGCAACCTGACTGTGTTTTCCTTTGAGGAACCTAAAATAAAAATGAAATTTCAAATGAAATCTTAAGATCTTTTAAAATGACAAAATGCTTTGCAAATGAAAGTCACGCACATATTTAAAATCTTCCTTCTTAATGTTGTTGTTGTTATGTGCCGTCGAGTCGTTTCCAACTCATAGCGGCCCTATGCACAACAGCCCTAAACCCTGCTCTATCCTGCGCCAACC